GGATTTTCGAGGATCGCAACACTAGTGGATGCATAGAGAATTAACGCCATGTTGCAAAGTAACGGAATAATTTCTAGAAACCAAATGTCTTTTAAAAATTCTCAAGAGGTCCATACCACAAAATTCGACTGATAAGACCAACGCACATTGCGTCATTTGGACGTCATGACGTCATATATTCAACCATACAGATTTCTAGGGCCAGAATCCCTGTTTATATAATTATATTCAACTACTCCTAGCTAATTAACGAAATAATTCTTAGTTTTTAAATCAATTTTAACAGTCTTTTAAAGGTCCATACCATCAAATAAAACTGATAAAACTAACGCACATTGCGTCGGTTTGACGTCATGACGTCATAGATTCAACCAAACATATATCTGTAATGTTAGTATGAGATGCTTTCTACCAGGCCATTTGACGTGTCAGAACGTTTGCAAAAGATTTTTTTATAAGAAAGAAAAGATTTTTTCCTTTGATCATCTAGATGGCAAGCCCGCAAGTTAAGCGACTGTGCACGTGGTAAACATAGCCATTTTGTTTGTAACAAAATGAAACACAAACATTGGTCAAGGAATGATGTCAAGGTAGATACAATAGGGCCTCAACAAAAGTTGTTGTGACTGGAACCTATCATTATACCGAAATGTGTTAAACTCTGTTAAAAGCCATCGAAACACCACGTCAGTAGAACAGTTTGTCTGTATGAGAGTAAGGACGAAACGATATTGTTATAAGACGACAGCGAAACATGGTGCAAGCTATTGCGATATTACTGATGTTGGAAATATCATAACTGCATCCGGCAAATCTCGTGTCCTGCTCAGATAGATTTATTTTTTATTTTTATTACCTTCGCCAAGAAGGTTATGTTTTCAGTAGCGTTTGTCTGTGTGTGTGTGTGTGTGTGTGTGTGGGTGGGTGTGTGTGTTTGTGTGTGTGTGGTTTAGCAAGATAACTCAAGAAGCAGTGGGTGGATTGGAATGAAACTTGGTAGGTGGGTAGGTCTTAATGAGGCCTAGAAATGATTAGATTTTGGGCCCCCTGGCGGCTTTCCTAGGTACTGCAGCTGAACTTCCGGTTTTGATATCTCATGTTCTGGACATGCTAGGGTCACGACAACCACATTTTGGTTGGTAGATAGTTCTTGGAGTAGGGAAGAAGTGACATGAGTTTGGGTCCCCTAGCGCCTTGTTCTGGAACTGCAGGAGCATTTGTTGAAAAAAATTTGAAGGACTATAACTTAAGAACCGGTTGACGTATTGTCGTGATTTTTGGTATGTAGGTAGTTGAAGTGATGCTTGACATAATCAGATGGCAATTATGCAAATCAGGAGCTAATTTGCATAATTAATGAGGAAATTCTATAAATCTGCTTTGTTCGATAATAGAACCATGAAACACTTGTGACATCTACTTGAGAACGGGGAAAACATCTGAGGATATAGATTATGTAAATGAG